TGATAACTCATATCCTATAAACAAGGCTCACATGCACGTCCCTGATGAATTTATTGACATTTTTTAGCTTTAAAATATATCGCATTTATAATATTCTGAACTCTTACCCTCAAAATTTCATTTCAAACGCTAAAAGTACTTGGAAGAAAATTATAATAAATCGAAAAAATTTTAAGTCTTTAACACCCTGTAGCTACGAAAGGGAGGAGAATAGGACCTACATATTGTTGCGGACCGGTGTGGACTCGACCTAACCTAACTATATGGCCCGTCCTCGGATGACCTTAACATCGCATTAAAGAATAGACACCGTAATGATTCATTCGAAGATTCGAGAAGAATCGAGTTCCACTGGAATGGAGTAGTACATACGAGAACAATCGAAACCTTCTCTATGCACCTAACGATCTATGGACTATTCTAGAGATCTTTAGCTGTCGGTATAAAAGCCGGCGGCTGGGGCCTAGAGAGGGCAGTTATATAAATAGACGAGTACAGTTGACGCGCAAAAATTCAAAAAATAAATTCTTACTTATAAATCGTTTGTAAATAGTTCTTTATGTCTTTTATCGTTATTGTTTTTGTTAATTAGTGTTAAATAAATAATGTTTAAATAAATTGTGACTTTCTATCCACACGGAACCGACGAAAAACGTAACAATATGTTGATATGAAAAATATATCTTATTTTTACGTGAGGAATCTCCCCACGAGAGATAGCACATGTTTTTTGAAACACCCTGTATACGTAAATGAAATTTACTTAGAATAGCATACCGAATAATTCTATCGGTGTTTGCTGATTGGAAAAATAAATACCTTCAAAAATATTCACTGCCTCCTGGACTATTAGAATTAATTATAAACCGTAAATTACAGTTGAGGGTTGGAACCTTTGGTGTTACACAGCAAAATAAAAACACTAAATCACCACAATACACCAAAACACTTTTACTTTTACACTGGACGCGCGTTTCGCTACCCATGTTAGCATCATCAGCAGATGATTATAAACTGTTTATAATCAGCTAACATGGTTAGCGAAACGCGCGTCCAGTGTAAAAATAAAAGTGTTTTGGTGTATTGTGGTGATTTAGTGTTTTTATTTTGCTATAAACCGTAAACTTAACTAAATGAAGTAGATATTTTTGGACCAAAAAAGCAAATTAAATTAACTGGTTCTTTTTAAATCACACACTCTTTAAAAAAATATATACACATACCAGGGTTTGGTACAGGTGTAGGTGTAATACGTGGAGTCCATGGATACCAAGATATCCATATACATGGAGCAGCTTGAACACCAGTCTGATTTTTAAATAATAATGTCGATTCCTAGTAAACATTATAAAACTAATTCATTTTTTCGAAAATAAGTATGTGTTCTACTTAAAAGAACTAGCAACTAACTAAAGGAGAAATCAACTTACAACAATCAAAAAGCACAAAACAAATAATTCAATATGCAATCGAACCATTTTATAATTTTGTTAGACCTTTAACTGATATATATTACCGGTAGTACCTAGTTGGAAATAAACTAGAAATGTCATTATATATTTTGCAAAACAGTATCCCATTAGATAAAAATCAATTGGTCTATTGTCATTTTAATAATGCACCATTTTTTCATCATTATTTTTCAGTCCGGCTAGGTACAATCAAAATCATTAAAATTATTGCTTCTTAAATGTTTCATGCAAATGAACATGATTTGTATGCTCTCAATTTATAATGAGGGCATAATGAGTGTGAAAGGACACAAGGGAAGTGTAACCTGTATTTTTCGGCATTTAAATTATTGTCAAATTTTTTTATTAATGATATGTATTTGGTGTGATGGAAATTAATTCGAATTTTTGTATAATTAAAATGTAATTTATAATCAATACATTGGCCACTTCTTGTAATTTCTAAGGATTTGTTTAAATTTGTCTATAATTGTCAATTCCTTAGCTCTGACAAAATTTACAGATGACTGAATTTTTGCATATTTCCTACAGCACATGTGGTAGTTGAAAAAGATCTTTTTTATCATCAGCATCATCATTTTCAGTTTATTCAACTATTTCCAATTATGGTGTGCCTCCCTCATATACTCTTTTTGTAGTTGAGCCCAGTCTATTGTTGGCTATCTCAGGTGCGGTGTGCTGTCTTAAAATATATAATAAATAAATAAATAAATGCCTTTGTTGTCAAAAAAATTTTACAATTTGTAGACAAAGGTAAAGAAAACAAACAAACTAAAGAGAATAAAAAACAAGTTACAAACAAACAAAAGAGAATAACAAACAAATTACATTATCAGTCTTATTGTTTAAAATAAACATTTATAAATGTTTACAATGTCAAAGAATAATAAAATAAAAATAAGATTCAAAAATATTTAGTAAGTTTAAAGTAAATATAGTAATAGACAAGGGTACTAGCAAATATTAGACCAGTTTGTAAAGATCAAATTGGATTATCAAAATATAAGTCATTTACGGCGTAGAAAGCCTTGTCTAGTAAATAAGATTTCAATGCTTTGCGAAATGAAGAAAATGATGTTATGGATTTGATTTCAAATGGCAGGTGATTGTGCATTTGTTTCGAGTTGTATAATATTGAACTTTTAACTAACTCTGAGCGTGTGGTAGTAGATAAGATCTTGCTCGGCGTTCCTGAGGGGCTCAGTGTGAGATGGCCTTTCTTGAGAAGCTGATACATGCTTACGTATTAGGCAAACGGATTCAAATATAAATAAGGAAGGAAGAGTTCATATTTTTAATTTTTTAAAGAAGTCCTGGCAATGAGTTCTGCTGTTTAGTCCCAGTGAATATCGAACAGCTCTCTTCTGGAGCTTGAAAATGCGGTCAAATTGAGTCGCACAACACGTACCCCAGAATGGAAAGACATATCTGAGGTGCGACTCAAAAAGTGCAAAATAAACAGTTCTAGCCACTGACAAGTTAAAGTCCTTAGAAACAGATCTTAATGCAAAATAGGCAGAGCTCAATTTTTTTGACACAGCGGCGATATGCATGTCCCACTTTAGAGAATTGTCTACAACAAGCCCTAAGAATTTTACAGATTTTACGCAGTCAATGGTGGTGTTGTTAAATACCAAAGTCTGCAGCGAGTTTTTATACGACAAAGCTTTAGTTTTAGAAATGTTGAGACTCAGGAGATTCGAATCGCACCAAGATTTAATGGTGATTAAGTCATTTGATATAATCCTATGAAGTGCCGTGACGTCCTTGTTGCTCCAAGTGAAGCTAATGTCGTCCGCAAAAACACATATTTTACCACTGATGTTTATGTTAGCAATGTCGTTAATAAAATAAAGAAACAAAATATACTTATATTCCACATTCAATTGGCTTGCTAGAGGACAACGTGGTATCCAGCCTCACAAGTTGACTTCTGTTGCTCAGATACGACTTAAACCATTCAAGAGATGTTCCCCTGAACCCATAGTGCTGCAGTTTATTAATTAGGATCTTATGATTTACACATTCGAACGCCTTAGAAAAATCACAGAAAATTGTTGCTGTAGAATGATGGTTATTTAGTCTGGAGTAAAAGTAAACTTTATTAAGGAGGGAAAACATAACGTCATTTGTGGACTTGTTACTTGTTTTGCGTTCTTGTTCTAGGTTTCTTAATTTCTCGTGTGTACAATGCTGTAATTTTTGTTGTCCATCTCTGTTGTCCGATCTTCTTGAGAGGTGTCCTGCCCAGAGGCGCAACTAGGAGGGGGCTAGGGGGGGCTTAGCCCCCCAGATAACCTGTGCGTGTCGTATAAAATTGGTTTTAAACTCACATCAATATTGTCTTATAGTGACCTAAGCCCCCCCAAAGGCTTGAGCCCCCCAAAAAGTATATGTCTAGTTGCGCCCCTGGTCCTGCCCATTGCTATTTGAGAGATTTGACTCTGTGGATGACATCTATTACCTGGGTCTTTTGTCATATCCACTCTATTCTTTTACGGTTTTTCTTGGATTTTGTTTTTCCCAACCTATTTTGAACATTGCGCGGCCTACTGTTCCCTTATGACGTCCGTTTTAAGTGTCCAGATTTCGCATGCATAGGTAATGACTGGTATTACACAGTGGTCGAATGTTTTTTCTCTTTAGATAGAGTGGCATTCCAGATTTGAATATGATATATGATTGAGTTTTAATATCTCCTTGTATATATGGGTATGCATCAATGACTAAAGAATCCAAGGACAAATAACACCCGAGAGCAAATTGTGACGATGCCATCAAACAGTGCCGTGGCACATATTTTTCTTAACCTAGCTGTTTGAAGCAATATTTATATTTTTTGATAATTGTTTTGACTACGCCTATGGTGTATCATCCTAATTAACTACGAAAAAAACGTATTAAATGTTAACAAAAGGTACAAAACTAGTATCGACGTATAGCACATATCAAGTACATATAGATATTAATTGAAATTGAAGAATAATTATCGAATTCAATAAGAAAACGCTAAAAGGTTGGAGTGGACTCTTTATTTACCTATGAAACGTAACTCCTGGCTCTTTCTTATCGCTGCTGCTTTTACACTTGAAAGCTGAACAACTAATCACCATTATAATAAAGTTTATACAAAGTTTACTACACACAAACTATTAAAAATCGCTAAAATTGTCGCTGGTGACCAAATGATGACTCATTGTTTGCCACCAAAACAAAAAAAAAGGTCACAAATTCTGCTGCAGCCCGTATAGGGGCGTTACATATCCTTATATTCTTTAGTCATTGGTATGCATACATTTATGAATTAAATACGTATGTATTGGATAAAATAATATTGAATTATAAATATATTTCTGAAACATTTAATTTCTGTAATATACCTATTATATTTAGAAACGATTATGTGCAATTTTCACGTCCAAAACCAAAAAGAACAAATAGTTGTAATGTTTATTTAGTTCGTATTTTGTATCTAAATTCAGGAAGTACATTTCAATATAAATATGGCAATAGAAAAGATTAATCATATTCACAATGAAGTGGTTTGTTATACAAGTTATATTATTTCTTTTAGCCTCAGTAAGTAAAAATTTCAAAGTACTGTGTATAGTTCGTTAATTTGTATTTTAATAAAATGTTTTTTTTTCTAAATTAAAGATAATAGTTTTATATTAACTAAAGTTCTTTCTACACATAACGTTGTCCCTGTCAGTCTTATACCTATTTAGTTATACTATAATAATAATAACTATAAGGTAGTGGAGGTAAATATGGCCCATCTACTATATTATGGCATTTTATCATCTCTCATGGGCACTACATACAATCTGGACACTGAAAATCGTCATCATCTATTTCTTCCAGGCCCACGCAAGCCTCGTGAAAATATCTCAGGCAAGTTTTGCAGATTCGCATGTCCATCTATTCGTCTATACCGCAAGCGGGGCAAAACCAGGACTCTTCACTTCTTTTGAATTTTTTGGAATGTTTTCTTTTCGAAGGCATTTTTTCATTGGTAAAAATTTGTTTAGTTACTCTTTGGGTCTTGTAATTCAATGCCTTCCTACGGATTGGAAGTGGGTTCCAATGCCTTCCTACGGATTGGAAATTCCTTCCTATGGAAGTGGGCCATATTTGCCGACACATGTTTACGTAAAATAACTGACAAAGTGAACATAACCCCTAACGTTGAGTTAATCAAATTTCATTCCAAAATAGCTTGATTTGTCTACTTACCGACTGTGATGATTGATATTTTTTGTCCAACTCTTTTGGCCCCAAAATTCGCAAAAAAACTTGACCGCGAATTTACATCAGCTTAGTAAGCAGGTGCTACCAAAAATTATAGGGGTTGCTGTTTTCATAGGAAATGACACATACTCACGCTATTAGCAGACTTAATTGTACGAATCTGTGTCTTTAAAGCAACGTTGCTAGATTCACCGAGTTGGCGTTAACTTAGTATATATGACGGATGGGCCATATTACCCTCTGGGCCATATTTACCTCCACCACCTTAGTATAAAGACGAATATAGAAAAAATTGTATATTCAATTGCATTGACAAAATTGTCTATAGTAGTAATTACTTGTGTACGCCACACTATTTCAGCTTTAAATAAAAAGTAAATATATTATTACCCGAAATATAATATGAATATGGGTTTTATAAACTCTGTTAGTACATAATAATTATTATATAATTTTATTTATAAACAAGACTCTTTAAAAACTACAGGGTGGTCCGGACTATATTCCGGAAACTTCGACAGCATATTCTGCAGATAAAAATAAGTAAACTGTTAACTGTAAAAAACTGTTCGTCCATACCCGTATAAAACTACCGATTTTGAAAAATGAAACTTCTACACCCTGTATATCCGAAACTAAGCATTTTAGGACATACATTTATACGGGATTTTTTACTCATTTTTATCTGCAGAATATACTACCGAAGTTTCAGGAATATAGTTTGAACCACCCTATATATTACTTTCGGAATATAGATAGATATTACGAAGTTTTCTAGGGTACGTTTTGTCAATGGGGTCCACCACCCCCTTGGCCATGGATGCTGGCCAATAAAATGCCCATTGGATTTCCTCCCCCACCACCACCAGGTACCTACGTATAAAACCTACAACCTAAATAGAGTATTGTTTATTGTTATATATTAAGGTGCGTATTCATTATCCGCACGAACGAACGAACGAACGAACGAATGTTCGCTAGTGGTATGGACGGGGACCGCACAATAGGACCGCACGAGAAGACCGGAGGCATTTGTTGGCGAACGCCTTTGATGTACCGACTCGAAACGGATGGTCGAGCGAACGAACGAACGAACGGCCGCATGCGTTCGGTCCCCGTCTAAATATACCGCACTTTCATTCGTTCGTTCGTTCGTTCGTTCGTTCGTTCGTTCGGATAATGAATACGCACCTTTATATGGTTTCAGTGGGTTCTTATCTTAAATACACCACTTGGCAACACTTAAGAAAAAGAATGTTTATATTTTTAAAACAAATAACTTCAAGTTAACAAAAAACTACTTCGAAGTAGATTCAAATAAATGAATGTATGTCTTACCTACTGTTTTTTTAGAAATGTTTTGGGGACAGCCATGGAATGTTATAGATCCTAATTCGAATTCAGACGATTTTAGCCACTACGGTCCATGGTCGAACGGCGGTAGTACTAATTTTACTCATTACGGTCCACAATCCAACGGAAATAATGGAAATTTTACTCATTATGGACCTCCATCTAATAATGGAAACCGAAACAGTGGCAACACCGGAATGCAGGGTCAGGATCGTAATAGCCCACCTAGGAGTGAAGCCATTCAAAACCAGTCTCCATGAAATTTCAATTTTTTATATTTTTATTTTGTTTTTCTGTTTATCCGAGTAGGTTCATTCATTTTCTATGTATGAATTATATTATATATTTCAAGTATAAATGTTCTTTACGGATATGTCACAAATACTTTGTCTTTGGGGATTAAGGTAAGTGTACCAGTAATTGACTGTTGTGACAGTGTTCGTCACTTTCTTTGTCACATTACAGTTTTTGTCAAATATTAAGGTATTTTTATATAGCACAATAATAAATTAAAATGTATTTCACAGATTTCATTTTATTTGAACGATTTTTCATCATAATTTTATAATAGCTCATAAACGTTTCTGCATTACTTTTTGGTATGTACGTGATTGGGACGTTGTTGTGCTGTGCAAGTTCTTTAACGTGTATGTTAAGCCATCGAAACTTTTAAGCTAGATAGTGTACAAAATGAAGTTTAATTATGCATGTTTTATATTATACGGGGTGAGTCTTAAATAAGTGCAAATATTTTCAGGGCTGGTAGATCTAGATAAAAGAAACATTAAACATCTAGATAAAAGAAACATGTAGATCTAGATTAAAGAAACTCTTTACCATTTTTCAGATAAGTCCAACATAACCGAGTTATTTAAGTTTGAAAATTTAAAAAAATATTGATTTTTTTTGAAAAAAACTGAGAGCCACCGGATTTTTTTCTGTAATTGCATTCCTTTTAGATCCGTAACCATAGAGTAAAGCCGTAACTAGTAATATCAGAGATTAATAAATTATACCGTGGAAAAATTTGCGGTGAACAGGCAGTTCTAAAAAGTTTTCAATAAATATACAGGGAATTTAAAAGAATATGCACCATTTTCAACATCTTTTTTTGGGGGAAAAAACCTCATAGATGTGGTCCTGGGGTTAAAATATACCGCCCCTGAAAATATTATGATCAAAATTTTAAAATTCAAAATTGTTCATGATTAAACAACAAAAAAGTCGTTTACCGCATATAGGGCTCTCTCTAGTAAGTATGATTTCAGAGCTTTGCGAAATGCGGGAAAGAATAATGCGACTTGATATTCAAAGGCAGATTATTGTACATTTTTTGGCATTGTACAGTATTGAGCCTTTAACTAGTTCTGATCTCGGGGTTGGCAGATAAAGATCGTGCTCCGCATTCCTAAGTGGATAGTTGTGAGATGGCCTTTCGGGAATAGCAGATATGTGCTTGCGTATTAAGCAAACGGATTCAAAAATGAATAAAGAAGGAAGAGTCAGTATTTTGAAAGTTTTAAAGAAATTCTGGCAGTGAGTTCTACTGTTCAGTCCCAATAAACAAGAATCACCCTGTATAACCTGTATTGATATTAAACCCGCTGTATTTAGGCGATTATACATGATTTAAAGAATATTTTTAGTTTAATTTCGTTTGCTGATTATTAGGTCTAAGAAAACGCCCCTGGTGACGATACCTACAATTATGCGTACTAGGTTCTTTTTGTGTTCTAGTAGTTGTTTTGACTTTTTGCTATCTACCAGTGGCATCATTCGAGCTGTAGCGCAGTCCTCACGGTGTTGCCACGTCTTTTGTTGCTTGGCCTTGATGGCAGTTCCTATTTCCTATAGCTTCCTTCAGTGTGTTGATCGTCACAAGCTGTTAAGTTAACCGAGCATATAAAAAAAGTAAATAATATAATACATTCTTAAAAAATAAAATCCAAAGAAAAAAAATGAGTAAGAAAAATGAAAATTAACAACATACTTTAGATAAAGAAAAATCAACAACTTAATAATTTAAAGAACAGTAAAAAATGAAAATTGTTCCGTTAAGGATACAAAATTAATAAATCAAATTATTGTGTAATTCTATATCAGCTCAATAACATATATGTTTTTAATTTTGTTTTGAAATTTGAAAGTGAACGGTCTTTAAATCATGAGAGTATAGATTCAAGTTGGAATTGTACATCTTGGATGCCAGGTAGGAGAACGGACGCTGATATAGCGCCGTGCGATGTTTGGGAATTTCCATATTATTACACTGCCTTATAGCATAGTTTGAGTGTCGAAATTTCAGTTTATTAGTCAAATACTCAGGAAAACCATTCTGCAAAATTCTGTGTAAAAATGCAAAATATAAATTAGAATAGTTAAAACTTTATGTCATCGAGTAAACAACATATGCAGTAACCAAGCATTACTTAATGCCGAATTAAATAATATTTAACGGATTTGCTTCAGAATGGTTACTCTGAAAAGTTCCATCGGACAAAATTATATGAAATTGTATACTGTTGCCAAATAATAATTTAAGAAAGATTAACAAAACAAGAAGTTGTGGTTTGTGGTTTATAGTGCATATATTATACTCTTACGTTAAGTTTTTTTTGGATTTAATTATATTATTAGTACTAATTATTGAACAATATCAGGAAAGAAGAAAGCTTGAAAAATCATCATTAGCTTAACCTTTGTATAACTAAAAAAATTGTGATAAGTAAGTTTTGAATATTTTTTGTAAAAAAGTCTTCACGATGAGGCCTGTATTCATTGTTTCTGGACTTCATTTTTACTATTCTTTATTAATGTATACACCGAATAAGACATCTTCACCATCTAAAAATAAATAAGAAAAATATGTTGGGAATGCATGAAAAAGTCAGATGTCCATCCAAATATTTCAAAAAATTAAATAATATTGTTATGTTTAATATTGAAACTTACTGCTAAAAATGCAGCAATATTAATTGGTACCCAGTTTGCTAAAGTCATTTGGAATGGTTTTTGAAGTCTAGCTATTAGAAATACTAGGATTTTGCGTAATTTTGTGTCATATTCATCCCAATTTAATTTATTTACAGAATTCTCAACTTGCATAATCTAAAACAAAGCGTTTAACAAAAATATTTAATAAATACTAAAATAGTTAATATTGTTACCGTCAAAGTGAGTACTTGGTTGTACCAACACATGACAAATGCCGTCGAAAAGATCACTACAATTTGAGATGATAAATAGAAAAATTCACCAATTGAATTGACCTAAAACACCATCTAGCTTACGGTAAAGCTCTAAAATAACTTCTATTTTGACTTACCGCTTCTACATTATACATCAGAGTGCAGGGTATGATACAGAGAAAAGAAATTTGTACTAGCATCTGAGTAGAGAGCATCTTATTTAAATAGATAGCACATCTAAAATAAACAAAGAAAACAGAAGACAAAATGCAGAATTTGAGATAGTAACTGGAAATAACCTACAGATCCTATAGGTACTCAGTAACAAATTAAATACATACGATTTAGAATATTTATAGTATCCAATAAAAAAAACCTTGTAGCGTTGATTGAAAGAATTGGGAAGATACGCAACTTAAAGGTGCGTTTAGACTTGAGCACGCACGAGCTGAGCGTACGCGCACGGCATTCGTTTAGTATTAATCTTGGCTCCGTTTAAATTAAAAACTTATTTTTCGACGAATGAAGTGATCCACTTGTGCGCGCATAGTAGAGTTATCCCATACCGATCAAAATTTTTTTTGACAGAGGAGGGTTATTGATCAATGTCACAAATTAACTACAACAGATGCGAAAGAACACCGAATTACGCGTTCAGGTTTCTGTGACCTTCAGAAAGAGTTCATAGACAATCCGCATCAATGAATAGTTTGGGTTATTATTTGTTTGGATGAAAATAATCTGCACCAATATGTTATCGAGGCATATAATCTCACAGTAATTTAATAGATTGCTCGTCATATTATATCAGTTCGTAGGAGATTAGGAAAAAAAGATATTTATAGTATAAAAAATTAATTTATTTAACAAAATTTAATTAAAGATGTGACAAAATAGTTACTTTTCTGTTGGTTCTATCGGACTTTTTTCGACTATATAAATATTTATTTTTTGTAAACTTTAATGCATAAAATATTTTCAATCTAATAAATAATTTAATGATGTAAGTAAGAGGAAATTTCTCACATGGGTGGTCAAATTCTATAGTTTTCATTATATCAAACAGCCTCTGAATGTTTTCTTCAGTGCAAAACTCATCAAAATTTAATATAAATAATTTTTCCATTTCCGGTAAATAAAATGAACAAATTTTTCCACTTTCATGATCAAAGGCTTTTAAATGGGTAAATAATTTCGAGTTATCCAGAGATTCGGATTCTTTTACAAATTTTAGACAAATATCACATTGATGTATTTGAAGACCCTTTTAATTGATGTAGTCAAACATAATTAAAGGCATTTTGAGTTGAAAACATTTCTCAGGGGTTGTTTGATATAATGAAAACTATAGAATTTGACCACCCATGTGAGAAATTTCCTCTTATTTACATCATTAAATGATTTATTAGATTGAAAATATTTGATGTATTAAAGTTTACAAATAAAGATTTATATAGTCGAAAAAAGTCCGATAGAACCAATAGAAAGGTACTATTTTGTCACATTTTTCATTAAATTTTGTTAAATAAATTAATTTTTTTATACTATAAATATCTTTTTTTCCTTATAAATAAACACATTTGTATCCCATTTTAAATAAGATATACAAATTACCAAATCTTAGAAATAACAGTTCAAAAGTTCAACAAAAATCCTACACCCGTTTTTAAAAAGAAACATATAACCACGCACTATGTCATTCCAGCAAGCGAATACGACACAGCATAGGTTTCCGGACTAAACGACTGGTGTATTTACACCACTCAATAGGCGTGTGGGGTTTGCCGAGCGGTTTCCGATGCAGTCGCTTTCTTTCGCATCTGTTATAGGTAATTTGTATCAATGTCCAGACGCGACTTATTTATGAATAATTACTTGAAAGTAGAGTATATATGGGGAAATCAGTCACGTGACCGCATGTATTTCTTATGGACTTCCGGTGAGTAAATTTTCGGTTGGTCCCCCCGTTTCAGTGTGTTTGTATGTGGGGCATGGTGTATGGTGTAGGTTTTTGGGGCCTTGGGCGCGCGCCCCCTTATGGCGGACTGTCGTGTGGGGCGTGTGGGGCCCGGGATGCGGAGCGCTATTTGTTAGGTTAGGGGGGGGCGCGCGTATAAGTTGGTAATTATTATAAGTGTGTGCGTCATCGTGGGCGATTTCTCGAGTTTCAGGTTCAAGGTCGGGCGCTCGGCGCGTTGTCGGCTGCTGAAATGTAAATACATTATTGTTAAATGTATTATTTTTCTTCCTATTATGTATGTTATCTTAGCGCGCGCACGTATCCTCACTTCTCCTCTATTTTATATAAGTATCTTTAATGTAACTTACTAACCTATAGTATAAGTATATAAAATATAGGATGTAGCAGTAGTAATAGAGTACAATAAGATTTTAATTTGTTATTTACTTGGTGTATTTTACACACAAAAATGTTTAATTTTGTAACATATTATTCATTTATATAAATATATACTATGTACTATATCATTATAATAAATTAATAAAAATTTATTTTATGAACTCTCTTGTAGACATATTATTATGTAGGTAGGTACCTCTACCATACTAATATTATTATTAAATAATTTTTTTTTGTTATTTACTTGGTGTATTTTACACACAAAAATGTTTAATTGTGTAACATATTATTCATTTATATAAATACATGTATTAAAAAATAATAATTTGCACTAACACCAAAACAGTGTTTTTTTTTATTTTCCGCCTCCTCCTCCTCCTCCTCCTCCTCCTCCTCCTATATACAGGAACAAAAACGACGACTACAAGTCTTGACAAGTCTAAAGTTAAATTCCTAGAAATAGCTATGACGTCATCCGCCATTTTGTTGCGCAACATTACGCAACCAAAGACCAACATCATTGAGTCAGTTGAGACCAAGGGCAACCCCCATTTTCTCCCTAAATTTAGGGAAATTTTCCCGTCCATAGCACCGTACGCTATGTAAATCTTATAACATGGGTTATATGTAAATTCCCCAAATCTACTAATCCAATGAGATCTGACAACGCCGCATTTCGCTGTGTATCCGACAACGGTGCACGCATACGCCATCTGTCAAACCTATCAACTGTCAAACCTGTCATCTGTCAACTCCGCCATATGTCAACACCGCCACCTAACATCTATCACACAAAACATACGCGCGCGCCCCCCTAATCTAACAAATAGCGCTCCGTATACCGGGCCCCACACTCCCCACACGACAGTCCGCCATAAGGGGGCGCGCGCCCAAGGCCCCAAAAACCTACACCATACACCATGCCCCACATACAAACACACTGAAACGGGGGGACCAACCGAAAATTTACTCACCGGAAGTCCATAAGAAATACATGGGGTCACGTGACTGATTTCCCCATATATACTCTACTCTTGAATATGCGCGCTTGAATATTTACTAAATTTTAATTACACCAAAAATTACTAAAAAAGATAAAAAAAAATGGAATAGCAATATCGCCAAGAGAACGCTGAGCCTTGACTTTATGTTTCTTGGCAAGTGGAGACTCGAATAGCAGCCTAAAGTATCTTTATAAAGTTTCTTAAATCTTTCATCCCTAAATTATCCCGAAGTATAGCGACTGTAGGTAAATTTCTGGGGTTTATATCCGATTCAATGAAGGTAGAAGCAGATGATGGGGTATTAGTAGATCTATATTCTGAAATATTCATATCAGATGTACTTGGAGAAGTAAGGTCGTGATAGTAGCTGGTGTTAGATGTAGTGGAATATTCATTACTGAAAGCTGGGGACGTTCATAGGGGAGAGACTGTGGAAATATTGCGTCATTAATATCGGTATGTTCAATATTAATTTTATTTACAAAGTCTTGTCATGCATCATTTTTTTTTCCGGAAAATCCGCGTTTATGTATTGAAAATTTATTCGTCTCAAACACAGAATAAACAACAAAAATAAAAATTCTTTCATAGGTACTGAATATGTCGTATGATCGAAAAAAGTCGTTTAGTTGGCTTGGAAATGACAATTATTGACATTTACAATAATATTTTATATAACGTGAAATAACAAAATAACTTTTAAGCCAACTCTGACGCTGTTCTTTCTTTAATCATATAATATTATACTAAATTGTTTAATGATATAGAAAATCCGTATTATTAACGAACTGTACCCAAAATCCGTCTATCTAGCACGAGTTCTGGCAACACTGTCTCCGGCCACCACTCACTATCCGCTGCACTGAAAACGACCATCAGCGCGCAGTGGCAAAGAACTAAACTAAATCTCGGACAGGCTGATTTTAACGCCAGCTACATCTCGAACAGGTTTTGTGCCACGAAATCGCCCATAAGATTCCGGATCTTCTTATTTCTTCAATCAACGCTTGTAGATATATTTTTGTTAGAAACTTTTTACATACCTGTATATTTCTTGTAGTTCGTTGATACATTTGACAATTCGTATTTTCTTCAATTGAATTATCCCCTCATAGCACATAGATTCGTCAATATTTTTATCTACAAAGCCAAAAGCATATGCCACAACGTGAGCTTGAGATGTCAAATAGATAACTGAACTTATTTCAAACGTATAAATACCTAAGGAATAATTTAAATTGTTAAATTATTAATGTTGTTTATTCTTATTTGCAATATGTTCATTAAACGGACATTATTTATAAATTAAAATATCTTTTTAGACTAACATAGTCTTTTATTTTGTAAATTTACACGGCTCATTTGTGCACCATGTCTGAGGAAGATGACATGGCTTGGAGATGTTTTCTTGACTATTTCATATGTAAAAGGAACCTAAGAAAATATTATGAGAATAGTCAAACAATATGACATTAAAATTGATTTTAAGTCTAGCAATATCGAAATAATCTATCATAGAATAAATAAAGAAAACTCTCTAATAATAAACTATTTTACATATAGGTCCTAAGACAGGGGGTCCGCGAAGGCTGGGGCCTGGCTGGCAAACGCCATCCTGACTATATGGCCAGTCCGTCCCTGAATACTAGTACTGAGAATCAACTTACACGCGAGACTATCCATGAGGTAAAAAAAAGCATAAGGCTGATAGAAAAATCCAAGTAAGTAGAATCCATCGGAAATAGAGGTATCAAACGGATACCATAAGCCGTAAGCATAGTCTCTGTATAAAGACGTTCCGTTCACTGTGGGATTGAACTTCTCATACGTTGGTTCAAAATAATTAACAACATATGTTGCAAATAAGTTTAGAAAAATGGTTATATTTAAAAAGAATAGGTATCTAGAGCAGAAATTGTTAGTTTGACGCATCTCATTTTCTCTGTATTTGTCTATCGGATGCCTAAAAAGATTAAAAAAATATATTTAGAGTAAAACGGCCACTACACTACTCGCGAAATAAAGCGAAGTAGGTCAAAGTCGAATGGTGGAGAGGGTTATTTCATGTTTCCTTGTCTAAGGAAAGTAAGGCGAGATGAGGCAAAGTTAAGCAGAATGTGTACTAAATCGACTCCGGTGGTAAGTACAGGGTGGTCGAAATTGGTCTGTTTTAACAGAGAAAACTTATTTCCTGGCTAGATAGAGCAAAACCGATATAGATGTCATGGGCTCGATTTCTGAGAAACTTTTAATAGCTTAAACCGCCTGTTCATATTTTCACTGCCAACCGAGATACAGGGCCTTTTTGAATTTTTTACTATTTGGAAAATTGCCCATAACTTTTGTATTTCGCGGTATAATAAAATTCTGTAAAAACGTTCTTAAGGCACTTTTTTAAGCACAATCCAGTGGTGTAGTCAGTTTTTTTCTATATTTGCTCTTTTTGTCAGAAATAATAAAAAATATAATTTTTTAAATAGAAATAATAGTTAGCTATGAACTTAAAAAAATGCTGGCATATAAAAAAATGCTGGCATATAAAGTTATGTGTATTTATTTTTAAGAATGAGAGAAATATTAGGTTATTTTCTCTTTGTATCGAAGCGGGCCTTGATTTTGTGTGACACCACAATTTAATATTCTGTATTATTATTTACCTGCATAATTAAAGACTTTTGAAAAGGTAAGTCAACATTCTATATTAGTATTACCATATACAATTAAAACGCAGGGTTACAACTGCACTACTAAAAATGGAGAATTTAGAGATAATTGGATCGGAACAAGGGGTCCCATATATTGATCTGCTAGGTCCTGTAATTTAACTCGTTTTGAATTTTTTATGGGGGAAATTAAAAGATCTTATCTATATGGGAAGAACCATTGGGACGAGAGAAGAATTACAGAAGGCTACTGGCAAGGTTTTGGACATACTACACCAGTTCGCCTAATAAATCGTTGAAATTCTGTGCGCAAAAGATGTTTATTGTGTATTCAACAAGGAGGTGCTCAGTTTAAACATCTTTTTTTTTAGAAAACTATATTCGTCACTTAAAAAATACGTTTTTTTAGTTTTGTTCTTTGTTGATTGTATCGATTTCAATTGTAATTACTAATATTAATATAGAATGTTAACTTACCTTTTCAAAAAGCTTTAATTATGCAGATTAATAATAATATATAATATTAAATTGTGATAAAAAAAATAAAGTAACTTGAAGGAATTGGACCGTTGTCTCTGTTTATACTATCTTTACATTTATTTATTCTGATGCTTTCATGTGCATCTAATTGCCTGTAATTTGAGACTTGTTTAACTAATTTTAAATTATTAAGATCTATACAATGTTCTTTATCAACGAACGTTGCCGAACATATTGTTGATAAAGAACATTGTATAGATCTTAATAATTTAAAATTAATTAAAGAAGTCTCAAATTACAGGCAATTAGATGCATATGAAAGCATCAAAATGTAAAGATAGTATGAACAGAGACAACGGTCCAATTCCTTCAAGTTCTTTGTTCCTACTACTCTAGTGGCGGAAATCTAACTGTTACGCTCAGTTGGCTCTGACTCGGTTGGCTAGATTTTGCCACGCCCACTCGGTGCCCACTGGGCGAGTATATAAACGCTCAACTTGTAGATTGTACTTTAGTTTATAATCATCTGCTGATGATGCTAACATGGTTAGCGAAACGCGCGTCCAGTGTAAAAGTAAAAGTGTTTTGGGGTATTGTGGTGATTTAGTGTTTTTATTTCGTTGGAAAGTGTTAAACACCAGCATTCTTTTAAGTTCATAGCCAACTATGATTTCCATTTCAAAAATTATGTTTTTCATTATTTCTGACTAAAAGAGCCAACGTAGAAAAAAAATGACCACGTCACTGGATTTTGCTTAAAAAAGTGCGCTAAGAACGTTGTTACAGAATTTTATTATTCCGCCAAATAAAAAAGTTATGGGCAATGGTAAAAAATTCAAAAAGGCCCCGTATCTCAGTTGGCAGTGAAGATATCAACAGGCAGTTTACGCCATTAAAAGTGTCTCAGAAATCGATCCCATGACATCTATGTCGGTTTTGCTCTATCTAGTCAGGAAATAGTTTTTCTCTATTGAAACAGACCAATTTCGACCACCCTGTACACAGTAAAGAGCTATCGGCAGTTTTCACATATAGAAATAAATGTAAACCAGCGCACTGAACCGGCACAGACCGGCCAGAAACGGCGACAGCGGTGACTTAAAATTTGTGACTAAGTAACGAATAATATATCAACTGTAAAAAGAATTGTGATTCTATATATCTAGGATTGGTCGCAGTCGCTGTTGCTGGCCGGTCTATACCGATTCAGAGTGCGCAAGGTTCCATTTATTTCTATGTAAAATGTAAAGTGAAAACTGCCGATAGCTCTTTACTGCGTGGACCGGCCGGTACGAATTCAGTGTGCGTTGAGCTTTAGGCGAGGAAATACTAGGGTTTCCATATGTCCGGATTTATCCGGATTTTTATGGTGCCCGGGGCGGTCTGGCCCGGATTTATAAAACTGAATTATAAAAAATATTTTACCAGTTACAGTTGAATTAATTTCTCAGTTACTTTGTCGAATATTTTAGTCTCTACGATGCTACAGCTCTATTTAACCGACGCATGTTTCTATACTTTGCTTTTTTTGCAATTTTTTGCTTTTCGTGCACTCCTGGAAAGTGAATGTTTTTTGGTTTATATTTTGTTGATTCCGGGGTAATTATTTGCATCCTATTCTTTTTCGCGACGTCCGGATTTCAGAGTTCATTTGTCCGGATCTCTGAGTTTACTTGCCCGGAATTTCCAACAGCCTTTATGGAAACCCTAGGAAATACGGAATATCCCTCTTTACTATTCAACCTTGAACTATTTCGGGTTATTTCGCGAGTAGTGTAGAGACAGTTTTATTTAAATTTAATAGTGCACCTTAACATATACTTGATTGTTTTTTTATAAATTGTCCAATTGTGTGTTTACATAGGAACAAGGATACTAGAAAAAACTTAATTTTAATACCTTCCTTTCATAACTCGGCTATGAAATGATTCCAAACTTGGAAATTTGAACAGTTCAAAATCAAAAGTTTGTCTTCTAAATGAGCTTAAAATATACTTTCGACGATGGAAATCCTTAAAGTTTCCGATTAATCTAAAATGTTATTTCAGAATAATATATGTATAACTACGCCGCTAATTCTGATATTTGACTGTATCGATTGATTGACTATATTGATCGATTTGATTGGATTTATATATTGCTACATAGTTTTACTTTTTATTCATCTAACGAAGAAGAGTGAAGAATTTCATTAGAACATATACCGTTAAAATAAAATTGGTCCTTTTTTTGGCATGTCACACTGTACATAATAAAACGCCTTTTGCATTTATTTATAATGAAGGTGCTATCAAGCTTTTAGAGATAGACTATAAAAAAGCACCTGCTTACCATTAATTTTCTATGATAATTTGATATCATTATATGGTTTCTTGTAGAATACTCAATCATAAAGTCGTCCTTGTAGTAATTTTAAAAATGTCAAATATCAAAATATTAATGATCGAAAAAAAAAAACGGCGTCACAGACGGCTGTGGAACGACAATCGATGATAATTTTGGCGGGGTTAATCTCTAGACATCATTCACTAAAAATTAACATAAAACAGCACTTGCATTTTCAATTATAGAAGAATTGAAAAATTCATAAAATTTGACATAGAATTTAAGTATGTAATAAAAAATGGGGACACCCATTTAAAATAAGAAAGTTGTCGTCAACTTCCGGTACTTCCGGAAGTGCCGCCATATTGAAAATATTTTTAATCGATAGATCTCGTTGTGAAACAATGATGTGCAAAAAATCTCTGGTCTAGATATTGTGGTTCTCTAGATACTTCTAATGCACGCTCAGCCGGGGACACCCTGTATGTCTGTTCATACTGTCATTGAGGCTGCATATACCATCTTGCGTTATGCTTTCCCATTGTTCTTTAAGGACCAAAGGAAGTTCATTTAATGAAGCTGGTACCGCTTCGCGACCTCTAAACCTTCTACCAAGAGTGCCAAGCATTTCCCAAACGTCGAACATGATGGGCTGTTCATAGTAGTATATTATTATAGTTCACAATAATGACCAAAGCCGCCTTGTCATATTTAAAAAGAAATGATAAATGAAACATTGCAAATTGTTGGTGGCAAGTTCATTTCGCTCTTAAAAATTAACCAAGGCGTGCATTGATATGATCCAAAAAATAAAATGCTGAGGAGACATGGTTCTGACCGTAAAATTATATTTTAGGAAAACTTACACACAAAATTATTGCACAGGGGTTTTAAAGTTATGGTAAAAAAACAACCCCTCGATTAACCTTGTATAATATGCCAAGTTAGTACTTGGCATATTATACAAGGTTAATCGAGGGGTATAATACACTTTAGTAAAGGTAAGGTAAGGTATAATACACTTTAGTATGTTTATAAAAAACTGAGTTTACGAATTAAAGTAGATGACATAATTACAATATACAGTTTGCTAAAAAAATCATTAAAATAGGGTTAAAAATAACAAAAATGTAACACTTTAACTTTGACCAAAAATCTCTCCGTTGTCCTTTTTGCATCTGAGTGTATTTTGCAAAAATTATTTTTTTTTGAATTTTAAACTACACCATTTAACAATCAATTTTATTCGTATAAAAATAAATACAAGCTTCTTAAGTCCAACTGGCTGTTAGCGCTATTAAAAAATTTAAAAAAATATGGGCCAAGTAATGAGGTTCTCATTCCCCAGCCGTCTTTAACGCCTTTTTTTATTGTATGGTATTAAAGCGCGTTCTCACGTGTACTTGACAAATATTTGTAATTGTATACAAGGTCATGGTGCGTCATAGGCTTGGTGCATTTTAGTTGATTTTAACAAATTCCGACCGCAGCGCACTCTATGGCAGAAATCAGAAATTATCAATATATAGTTCACGCCGCCGCGCGCCGTCATGTTGATCGCATTAAAATAATATTGAAATGGTGGTTTTGTCACAATATTTAAGTATTTTGTTTTTTTGCTAGTGCAGATATTGGAACTAAAACACTCAGGTACGAGATTTGTGTGATGTAACGCTGTTTCGGGTAGTAAAAAATAAGTGAAAAAGAATTCGAACTACGCGTCGTGTTGTGGTTGTGACAATTTCTAGTGTTAATAAAATTGCCGAAAAAATGTTATCACGTAAAGGGGTGCGTAATTAGGGCGTTGTTGTGTGCAATAACATTCAATAACTCAACTTTTCCGGATATTCAACTCTTCCGAAACAACATTTTATAGTTTCCTAGTTTCTCACACCAATTTAATCAATAGCAAAAATGGATTCAAGAAGTTCGACGAAACAAGTGAGTAAACAAAGTGCTCGTTACAGAATCAAAAAATTAAATAGACATACTATTAGAGGATGAAATATAATTTGCAATATTAATGGTCTACTTTTAATTGTTTTATGAACATCTTCTAAAATTATAATTATGTACCTACCTTTAAAAAATGTCGTTATAGCCGAAATAACTCCAATATGCTCCACTAGGAGAACTGGTGCTCGCTACCATATAGTTAAACTCATTTAATTTTTTTTAACTGGAATAATAAATTATAATGCAAGTTAGACCTTCTGAAGATATCAAAATATTACCTTTTTTTTGTTTAGAATTTCTACAAATTATACTTTCTACAAATTAACACTTTTAAAATAAATATATAAATACTAATTTTTGTCGTTTACTCGCCATTTAAACCCCTGTATTTGTATGTATTCAGTATTTACGATATTCTCCGGCGGTGGCAGCACCGGCGAAGAATACACCAAGCCTATACAGAATTTCTAAGTTATTTATTACAGGAACTACGCCGCATTCTCGCCAGACCACGTATGCCAATAAAAAATACTTGCCAAGTAGACGAGTCGTGAAAATGCGCCGTTAGATTAATATATATCATAATTTTGTACCTTATTACCCCCAAGGTATGCATTGAAAATACACTAAAAGTTAAGATGTCTCTACCAAAATCACCAGTACCGCCTAGTATAAGTTGAGTACACTCCATAACTGGGGTGCAGAAAACCAAGAGGAAATGAACTGGGGCAAAAACCCAAAACATCTTCCTTAAAATCGGGTTCTCGGGTGGTATTAAAAAGAAAAACTTACAGACTTTTTGGTAAAATTCAAAAAAATCCGCGTATTGAAGCATAGTGAGTGTCATGTGAGTGCATATATGTAATTGTATTTTATTAAAAAATCAATGTGGATCATGTTCTTATATTACATTTTTTAGTATTAATAATTAATATATTTTCTATTGTTCGAGTTATTGGTAATTGGGAAATAAATATATAGGTAACAAAACTCACCAAGTACCTAATTGTTAGATTATCTTTGTTCTAAACGTAATAATTATATGACAGTTCAGCGATTGCAAGAGAAGATGTGATTAAATGTATTTAAAAAATAATAAGTGATGCATTTTAAGTTATTAACATCTTGTTTTTCCTGTCAGGGTGAAATTTTAAAGTCTATTTTCTTCATGCGGGTTATGAACCTCGCACTTAAAAAAAACGTAACGTCTACGTACAGTACGTCTGTCCGTTCTGTAGCTACGGGGTATCCGTGAGAGGGGAAACGATATTCTCTCGATGTTTTTCGTAAAAAAATAGACGACGCGTCCCATCAATAAAAATTCAACAAATTTGCAAGTAGCCAATAAAATGAGTGGGCGGAGCGATTTGCGGTGACGCACTCGTCAAATCGACGTATAAAATATATTGCTGTTTATTTAAATGTTTTTTGTCCGCATTCCTTTCATAGACACAGATCCAGCAGATGTACTGTAAATAGGTTTTAAATTCTTGCCTCGGAACAACAGCCATGACGGAGTTTCTCAGACATTCACCCGTCCAATTTCCTACATGGTATATCGGCGCTTAACTTCGGCCATGGCTAAGGAACCCATGCTGTGACGTAGATGTGGTGTTACTACAATTATACAATATTACTTACATTTATGCATTATACAGGGTGAGTCTTAAATAAGTGCAAATATTTTCAGGGCTGGTATATCTCGATAAAAGAAACATATTTTCTCTTTACCATTTTTCAAATAAGTTGAAAATAAGCGAGTTATTTAAGTTTGAAAATTAAAAAAAAATAATTCTTTTGGAAAAGTTTTGAAAGCCACCGGCTTTTTTCTGTATTTCCATCCCTTGGTAATATCAGAGATTAAGAAATTATACCGTGACAGTTCTAAAAAGTTTTCGAAAAATATACAAGGAAATTTAAAAGAAAATGTACGATTTTCAACATCTTTTCTTGCGAAAAAAACCTCATAGACGTGTGGTCGAAATATACCACACCTGAAAATATTTGCACTTATTTAAGACTCACCCTGTATAAATACACTGCTTAGGGTGGCTGCAACGACGTCCCGTAATCCTGCTATTAAGACAAGACAAACGGTTTTTATATATAAAAATCTGTAATAAATCTGCAAAATATATAAGTTTTGTTTCAACAGCAGGATTACGGGACGTCGCGTGTCGTTGCAGCCACCCTTAAGGCCGGGACACACCTATCATGCACGTTTCCGATCCGGCTCCAGTCCGATTTTGCCCCAGAAGCGGATCGCTGTGGGATCGGAAATGGTGAGTACACACATGTCATATATGCTTCCGACTCCTTCACGATTTCGGGCTTCGGCTGGATACAATCGTCTTGATTCAACAATCATCGCATGAAGTCGTGTGCGCAAAATGTTTAATAATTTTAGCAACAGTGATTTGGCCATGGTGGCACTTTGTTTGGGAGAAGAAGGTGAGAAAAATGAGAAAGGTTTTATAGAGAACAGCCAAAAACGCAGATTTCATGTCTTTGTAGTCGGAGTTTCGGTACTGCTCTTTGGTCTGGTTACTTCTTCAATTAGTTCCTGCGGTTTTATTGTTGACATTTTTTATTATTTTAGTAAAAAAATTAAAATAACATAGCAAAAACAAGAATAAACAAAATAGTGCAAAACGACACTCGTCCCACAGCCGGCATCGACGAATAGACTGACAATCGGAACACGAACGGATGCAGGAACGGAGTCGAGTAGGAGCAGGGATGAATCACGTATCGGAAAGGTGTAAACTACGCTGGTTAAAATAACGTACGATTTCCCTCTCATAGTCGGATCGAAAACGTGCATGATAGGTGTGTCCCGGCCTTTAAACATGTATAACAGACTAACCGTATACAGGCAGTGGCGCAGCTACCTAGAGGCTAGGCGTGGCAGTGCCCCGGGGGGTCTCAAGCTCAGGGGGCCCTCGAATCCTCACCAGAAATCTCGATCGAACTGAACTTTTGGAAATTCCTCCCATTTTCAGAATAAATATGACAGGTTGCAACCCCACTTTAAACATGACAACTCAGTTGAGGGAAATTCAAAAGTTATGCCTAGGGAATTCCCCTAAATTCTTTCTGTAGGTTGGCAGTGTTCTCAATTTGACGGATAGTGATATGTGCGTTTTATTATTCATGGATGTGCGTTTTATTGTGAATTCGAGTTAAGATTTTTTTTTCGAGAACGGTTAAAAAATTAATGCTGTATCAGAAGTAAGTAAGCTAATGTCAATAAACTTTTTTGTACTGGTCAATATACCTAGTGGTTCTATTTTATTTGATTTTACCACTCATTTTGATGTTCGTTAAGTCAATAAATCGTGTCAAATCTATAGATTTCGGGTACAGCTCATTGTATAATGCGAAATATCGTGAAAAAATGTCAAGTAGGTACATTAATTCAGGTCCGCGGGCGGGAGATCGTTCATGGTCTCCACCGTTAAATGTAGTAACACTAATATCCTAAGAGCTGACGACATATTTAGAGAACATATTTTAGGCAAGCTAGAATAACTAAAAATGTACCTATAGTTTATTAACTGGTGAACTGTGTTGGGGGTATTTCGCTACTGCGCAACCCAAAATGGACCCCGACCATTCCAAATATGTTTAATTATTACACTCTAAACCCGAAAAAAGGGTCTGGCATACTTATTTCTAGGTTAAATAGATGCTAAAATTTAAGAATAAACAAATTTCAAGTTGCCTAAAGAATGTTTTTTGGATTTATTTTTTTGCAAATGTTATGGGTTGCGCAGTAGCGAAATATCCCCAACCCCCCAGCCAGACTTAGGATTCTGGGTTCACAAGTTATTAAACTTTATTTTTTTTTTTGTTATTCTAACTTGCCTAAAATATGTTCTCTAAATATGTCGCCAGCTCTCCGGCTAATAAGCGATGCGTATCGAAGTATAGGTACGAAGTGTTCCATGGTAAATCGTCGTGAGTTGCCTAGCTGTCGAGTGAGTAAGCTGTGGCTTTATTAAATGATCGAGCTTTTAAATCTTTAAAATGCTTTATTCTAGAATATGTTTATTACTCTACATTAATATTTAATAAATATGTTTTAATAACTTAAATTATTATTAAAGTATTAAACAAATTATAAACTATGTGCTGTTTCATAAGTGTTTATTGCTAATTCAAATATTTGCCCCTCATGACCAGAGTTGGTTATTAATAGTAATATTATATTAATGTAATAATAACTAATAATTCAATTCTGACGTGCATGTACAAGTACAATACGTCCCTAAATATAATTCATTAGATTCGTAATTTTCGTTTTTGTAGACTTTACTTTTGTGATGTGTGACACGTGCAATTACGATTTTTTTTCGCTCATTGAATTTTGTCAGCCCTCGTAGTGATTAGTGCATAGATTGAATATGACATTTTGATCATCTAAAAAAAATATATAATGATTCTCTAAAATTTTATGTTCAAAATATACAAAAAAGAGAAAAAAATATAAGATGCTTTTAATAATTTTTAACACACAATTTTAATATTTTTTTTATAATACGCGAATAAAAATACATTAACAAAATTACGTTAATGTTACGTACTGCTATAAATGTGTTTGTGGTAATTGGTTGCCATGGTCCCAAAGTAAAATAAAACGGTTTATCCAGACGCGCTATTAAAAATTTCAGTGTCATCCGTAATCTCGCTGGATAACTTATCCAATTCAGGGTTTGTACCGATTTGGATACTTCCATAACCTGAAAATATAGATTTTCTTTTTTATAAATTCTAAGCCATTTTATTTTTTTATAATTTAAGTTAGTCTAATATGGCTGACAATATTATACAAGGTGTTCCAAAAAACATGTGCCATCTCTGGTGGGGAGATTCCTCACGTAAAAATCAGACTTATTTTTCATATAATATAGGTCCGATTCTGCTTTGTTTTGTAGCTACAGGGTGTTAAAGTCTTAATAATCTTTCGATTTATTTTAATTCTCTTTCAAGTCCTTTTATTGATTTGAATGAAATTTTGAGGGTAAAAGTTACTATAAGTGCTACATATTTTAATGCTAAAAAAGTGTCAATAAATTCATCAGGGACGTGCATATGGGTTATCACTAGTGATGAGATAACTCGAGCGAAAATTCGCTCGAGTACTCGATTATTGAAATAATCGACATCGCTCGATTATGAATGAAATAGATTGAAATCCGATTTTAATGTGACATACTCGATAAAAAACCGAGGGAATTTTTTACCTACATTGCAGGTAGCAAATTTATACTTACGTTATCCGTTGCGTATCTGAGTGACAAAATTTTACGACCTAAATCAAGCGATCAAGCGAATCGCTCGTCACTTGCGACTTGCCATTCAGCACCGAAAGAATATGTGCTCTGCGCACGCAACTTACTGCTTGGAGTACAAGCAACAAGCGACGGCCGAAAAACCGTATTTTTAAATACGAGCGATATTTCGCTCGATTCAATAATCGAGTATCAATTATTGAAATCGCTTGAAACTCGAGTATAGTCTGTGAAACGAATAACTTTGAATTTGACAGTTCCCGCGGGCTTTTCTAGTGTTAATTTTATTAGGTTAGCAACTTGCGGCCATGCTGACGCAATGCCGTCTCTAGTAGAATAGCC